TATGAAAGAAAAAGAACATGGAAATGAAATGAAAGTTCTGAAATATGAAATAATGAAAAGAACATGAAATCTTTGTTATATTTGATGTTGATTTACATGATTTTTTTATAAAATCATGAGATGATGATTTTTCATGTTTCAAGAGGAAAACAACTTGAAATGCTCAATTTGAAAATTTTAGTGTTTTTGTTTAAATTACAGATTTATGTTTGTAATACTTTATGAAATTTATGTTTTATCTCACTTTAGCTATGTTACTGCCTCTTTAAGTTTTTACTTAGCGCTTGATGATGTTCATGCATAGGTTCAAATAGATAAAGGAACATGAAGTGGGGAGCCTCTTGAGCATCTTTTAAGAAAATCATACCTAATATATGTACCAGTAAAACAACTTATCTTTTACTTATTAGTCACATATATATTATATATCTACGTTGCTTTATCGAAATTTTTTTAATGGGCTTTAATAGTAAACTATAACCATTTTATTTTGGTTAGTCTAGTTATTTATGCATTTAAGAATAAACAATTTATATGTATTATGTTTTAAATAGTTTTCTAATTAAGCAATGTTTAGAAAATTTTATATAATTTATTTAATAGCATTAGATTGCCTAATTGCTACCTAAAAATAGAATTTTTTGAACTTTCAAATATAATTGTTTTTATTTTACATGATTAATGAAATAGTTTTCAATTTAATTATGGAATGTTTTAGAATGAAACAAAATTTTAAGCATTTCTATTTAGTGAAGGTTTATAAAGTTGATGTAGATCTTTAACTCGTATTTTGAGAGGTATACAAGTTATGGGTGTTACATTTATTGATATCAGAACTAAACCAAACTTATTTTATATCAAAAATATGTACATGTCGTTGATATTACTGGTCTGGTATGGTAAAGTTTTTTATTGATGATGATTCTCCTTACTAAATATAATTTTGAAATGTATGTGTTAGATGTCATAATCTAAGGATAAATGTAAAAAACTCGATAATACAGAGGAAAAGATCGAGGTTGAAATCGATTCAAATAGATCGAAGAGAATTTTAGTATCTTGCCTTAGAAGAGTTGGAGCTGTAATGGATTTTCCTCCATTATGTGGAAGAAATGCCCCAATGTTTAATGAGGTAACTGAATTAGATAAATATATTAGAAAGTTTAAAAGGATTACAAGAGAAGTTGAGGTCGATGAGGATCCATAGATTATAGAATTTACTGGTGACTATGGGGATTCTGCATGTAATTAAATTGTCTTCTAATTAAGCAGTGTTTAGGTAGTTTTATATAATTTATGAAATAACATTAGACTACTTAATTACTACCTAAAATTGGATTTGTTTTAAATGTTTAAATATTATTTTATGATTTTACACGATTAATGAAATAGTTTTAAAGTTATAATGGAATGTTTTAGAATGAAACAAAATTTTAAGCATTTTTGTTCAGTGAAGGTTTATAATGTTGATGTAAAATCTTTAACTCAAATTTCGAGACGTATATGGATTATGGTTGTTATATCATGACTCAGAACGTCGTCTTCTTCTATAATTGAATCCTGAAATTAGAAAGGAAAGAGAGGTCGCTATGATCATTCCAGAATTTAAAGTATTCGTGACACTCTAGGGGCATATACTCACATAGACACTTGCTGATTCTGACCCATGTGTTCTAAGAACAACTAAACCTGGAGGATCTGATACCCCTAAATGTAACAACCTAATTCGATCCAACCTGAAGGTCGTGGATTACGATGCCACATGAAACCACCGAAATGGTCAACCCAAAAATTTATTTTAAAACATTTAATTATATTAAAACTATTTATCATAATTTAAATAGAATCGAAATCAAGTTTACAAAATAAGGGAGTTTTTCGAATATGTAAAAATAAAACCATAAATTTTATATCAGAATATAGCTATGACTCAATCATATAAAGGTTCATGTAAAATACATGCCCTATAAAATAGACTCATGACATACTCTACAGCGACTGCTCTGGAATGTACAAATACGATAAGCTCCTCGACGATCCCTCTACCAACTTGCGCACGGAAACACATTCCACATGCTGAGCTCACAAGCTCAGTGTCAGGAATATAACTATGCAATACTACATGCATTCATCACATGAACATGCAAGAATGCAAAGTCATGAACATGAAAAAGTACATATCAAACATGAGATAGGCCGAGTGGTGTAGTTAGAGGAATTTACGTGCATATTAGATCACACACTAGCATATCTAAAGTAGAATAGCTTCGGGGTAAGAACCAGAATCTACGTACATCGAACCATATAACCCTTGGAAATTTTAAGATCATCGAGAGGTCGAAGTGAATTTCAAAATTTACGTGCATCAGAAGCTCACATCCCAAACCTAGTAGAGCATAAGGTACGATTCTAGAATTTATGTGCTTTATAGTTTGTACCAGTATGACTCAGAATTTACGTGCATCAACTATGTACTGAATGAAAAATATCCAAATATTCACAAACAAAAGATGATCATCATAATACTAGAGTAACTCGGGTGTCCTAGCCATTTCTCTAGCATTATACAAAGGCAAATCTTATGTTGTCCTATCTTGCTTAATTTTTATGAGAGAATTGAGTTAACTTTTTGTTTTCACTTGCATATAATACTTAAGGCTTATATGAACCCAAAACACCTCAACCCGCACACCCGAATAAATTAATTTAAATTGCCCAAAAATCACCATGAGTATCGGTACTATGCCACCAGTATCGATACTGGATCCTTGGGTATCGATACCAAATTTTACTTCAATGTTTTAAAATTTACATTGGTATCGATACCCCTATGGGGAGTATTGATACTCAACCTTGGGTATCGATACTCACCAAAATTAGCTTCGGTGTTTTAAAAAATTCCTTAGTTTCAATACTAACCCTATGAGTATCGATACTAGACCCCAAGTATCGATAATTCTTGAAGAGGTATCGATACTTCCCTTATGACTTTCCTTATTTTTACCTTCAACGAAAATAGTACATGTACTGTTCATTTAGTACCGATACCGATGGACAAAACTGCTCTGTTTTGAGCACAAAATTATACCCAAACCTCACCCATTCACTCCCCTAAGACTAGTAAACTTTTTTAAAGTCTTATTAAGTGTCATAGAGGTAAAAAGGTACTAACTTTCATGCTTACAAACATCAAATAAGAATTTTACCATGGATTACTCTAGCATACTTTCATGAACAAAACAAACCATAAATGCACATACAATGACCTGGATGCAGTATGGTCAAGTTAAAATCGTGTTACCTTGAAGCTAGGTGACTTAAAAACGTTCCCAATTCACCCAAGGGTTAGCTTTTCCTTGCCTATAGCCGTTGAACTCTTACTTTGCTCTTGAACTAATCAAAACAATTTTAATGAGTTTTTAGCTCATTTTGAACCTTAGAAGAAGCCAAAAACGCTTTCTTACCAAGCAAAACTCATAAAATGAGCTAGAACCCAGGATTCCATAAACACCCCAAAACCCGCTTTAATGGAAACTAAGCTAAACATTATAATTGGGGGCTTGAATGAAAGCTTAAGAGTTGTAGATTGTGAATATTACTTTGTAAATCACAAAGAATGGCTAATATTCTTGAAGGTTCATCCTTTGATGATTTCTTGGAGATAAAGAAGTTGGCAAGGATGAGAGGAAAAAGACAAGCTTTGTGGTGAAAAAAGAGATTTGTAAACAGATTTGAGATCATCCCAAATTAATAGGATTCAACCTTTGGTTTGAAACTGGGTTAATTACCCACCTCGTCCTTCCTTGTTTTTTTAATGATTAAACGCTCCCATTCTTAAGCTAGTTGGGCTCATCAAAAGCCCAAATCAAATCCACTAGGGTCAAAAGGTTTATATACTAAGGCAAAATATTTCATAAGCCCAAATGAATAAACCTTAAACTCCTAACCCGTATTTTGGGGTATTACAACTCTCTCCTCCTAAGAAGAAATTTCGTCCTTAAAATTTACCTAAATAGAAGTGGTGTAGATAATGGAGTAGTATATCTTCCTCGGGTTCCCATGCCGCTTCCTCTACTCCGTGGTTCCTCCATGAAACCTTCACTAATGGTATCCTCTTGCTTCACAGTTCCTTGACATCTCTAGTAAGGATTCGGATCGGTTCTTCCTAATAGTTAAGTCTTACCATATTTCAACTTGTTAAAGAGGGATAACATGGGACGAGACTGATCGGTATCTTCAAAGCATGGAGATATGAAACATTGTGGATTAACTCAAGCTTTAGAAGTAACGCCAAACGATAAGCCACTGGCCCAACTCTTGTCAAACTTCATATGGTCCGATCAATCACAGGGTTAACTTAACCTTGTATCTGAACCGAAGTATTTTTCTCCAATGGGAGACCTTGAGAAATACCTTGTCTCCCACAGCGATCTCAATATCCTCGCGCTTCTAATCAGCATATGACCTCCGTCTGTTATAAGCCTCCTTTAGAAGACTCTGATTCAATTAATCTTTTTCTTTGGTTTCTCATATCAAGTCATGGCCTACTATCTTGCCCTCCCTAAGCTACGTCCAATACAATGGAGTTTTGCACTTGCACCCATACAAGGCTTTATACGGAGCCAGTTGAATGGTCACAAAAAATCTATTGTTGTACGCAAACTCCACTAATGGTAAGTGATCCTCCAAACTTCTATCAAGATCCAAAACGGTGCATATAAGCATGTCCTCCAAAATTTGAATAATTCGTTTAGATTGTTCATCTATCTGATGATAAAAGGTGGTGCTATAGTACGGTCTAGTACCCAAAGCTCCATGTAGTGCTTTTTAGAACCAAAAAGTCAACTGTGAATATCTGTCTGTATGATCGAGATAGGGACTCCATATAATCTCATAATATCATGGATATACAGCTAAAACAATCTCTCTAACGTGTAGTCCATACAAACTGAAAGAAAATGAGCATATTTGTTAGTCGATCTACTATAATCCAAACTGTATCATTTCAGAACCTTGTCATCGGAAGGTCTATTACGAAGTCCATCGTCACTCTCTCCCATTTTCATTGCAGAATCTGAATTGGTTGTAACAACCCTGAAGGAATCTAATGTTCAACCTTAACCTGTTAGCACACTAAGTACTTGTAATAAAATTCAGACACTTATCTTTTCATGTCTGGTCGCCAATACAATGGTCGTTGGGTCAATGGTGAGTCTGAATGGCATCATGAGAAAATTATAATGGCCATATCTTATCCTGAATGCGGTATGAGCTAAATTAGTATCCTTTTCAACTGAAAGTATCCTGACCTCACATCGATCTTAGGGAATACACATACACCCTTAAGCTGGTTGAACAGATCATCTATCCGAGGGAGAGGGTAGCGATTCTCGATAGTCAACTTGTTCAGTTGCCTATTGTCGATGAACAACGTCATCGACCCATCCTTTTTCTTGAAAAAGAAAACCTGTGCTCCAAAGGTGAAATACTCAGTCGAATGAAGCCCTTGTTCAACAACTCTTGGATTTGGCTCTCTAGTTTCTTCAACTCTGTCGGTGCCATGCGATAGGGTGCAATGGACACCAGAGATGATCCTTGCAAAACTTTTATTTTGAGCTCGACCTCACGGTCAGGCGGTAATCCCGTTAACTCCTCCAAAAACACATCGGATAACTCCTGCATGGTACAGATGTCCTTAAGCATCGAAACAAAAACTCACGTATCCAAAACATGCGCGAAGAAGGCTGCACACCCCTGACTCAATAATTTTTTAGCCCTGATTACTAAAACAAACTTGGCAATGCAACATGTACTCCCACTGGTCATCACTACCATGGTCCAATCATCCTTGCGAAGCTTAAGTTGTCTCACCCTGCACTTGAAACTTGTGTCATGCCCAGAGAGCCATTCCATGCTTAATATTACATCAAACTCCCAAAATGGTAGCTCCATTAAGTCGACTAAGAAAACTTCACCTTGAAGTTTTACGGGGCAACGATAGTGAACCTTGTCAACCAAAATGTCTAATCCTAAGGCACTAGACATGCTGACCACTATTTCTAAATCCTTAATTGAAATATCCCTCTGTTGGACAAGGTCATATCCTACATAGGAATGGGTGGAAACAGGCTCCCCTATACGACCCTAATGGCAGTCTTCCAGAACTCTAGGAGTCCCTAGCCCTATTTTCTTTTGACTGAGACTGCCTAGATGTCTCCGAAACACTCCTACTCTGACCTAGTGAATCACTCACCTCTGAGCATTCTCCTTAACAATCCTCTCCATAGATTTTGCCTGTCGGATCAGCTCTACGAAGAAACAAGGAGGATTGACTACTAGATGAGTATATATGTCCAAATGGAGGCCCTCCCTGAACCTCATACAAAAGTGAGTCTCTATCAAAATGAGCTCGGGTGCATACTTTCTTAATTTGAGGAATTTCTTTTAATAGTCGAACATGGTCCTATCACCCTAGGTCATATGCAAAAATTAGACGCGTTATTCATTGGTGTGGGCCTTATCGACATACTTCTCTCTAAACTTTATTAGGAAATTATCCCAGGTGGGCATCTCTGGCTCAATCGCCAACTCTACAGTATTCCACTAGTCAATCGTGTCACCCATCCGAAAGGCGGTGATACACTCTAACTTACCCTCAAGAGTGAGGTACAACTAACGAAGGGTACAAAGCATCTATCAATGCCATTATCATGTAAAAATAGGGTTGTGGTCCCTAAAATCATAGAAAACAGTCATCCTATAATGGTAAAGCCTCTCGACCGGAGACTCTTGAGGCACCACAACAGGTTGTGCTAGGGATACAAGTAGAGGAGGTAGCATGGTATACATATTCAGAATAGTACAGACTATATGTTTAAGGGTTGAGGTCTGATCACGAAAAAAGTTCATCTCATTGACTACTGCGTCCGTAGGAAGCCCATGCTCAGAATCTAGGGCATACTCGGTACCAAAATCTTCGGCCAATGAGGCACAACTCCCCCTGACCCTCATGACTCGAAACTTCCTCGTCTGTCATAATCAAATCCTGAAATTAAAAATTAAAGAGAGGACACTATAGCCATTCCATAATTTTAAGTATTCTTGACACTCTAGGAGCTTGTGTTCACAAAGACACTTACAGACTCTGACATGCAGGTTCTAGGAATAATTAAGCCTGGATGCTCTGATACCACTAAATATGACAACTTAATCTGATCCGACCTAAAGGTCTATAGATTACGATGCCACATGAAACCACCAAAATGGTCAACCTAAAAATTTCTTTTAAAATATTTAATAATAGTAAAACCATTCATCACAATTTAAACGAAATCAAAATCAAGTTACAAAATAAAAGAGTCTCCCAAATATGTACAAACGCAACTAGAAATTTAGATCAAAATAGAGTTATGACTCGATCATACAAATGACCATATAAAATATATGCCCTCTAAAATAGACTCAAGGCATACTCTGTTGCGGTTGCTCTGTAATGTACAGATGCGATAGGTTCCTCGACGATCCCTATACTAACCTACACACAAAAACACATTCCATACGTAGAGCTCACTAGCTCAGTGCCACAAATATAATTATTCAATACTACTTGCTTTTATTATATGAACATATTGGAATGCAAAGTCATGAAAATATAAAAGTACATATCAAACATAAGATAGGTCGAGTGGTGCGATCAGAAGAATTTAACGTGCATCTTGGACAACACACTAGCCTATCTAAAATATAATAGCATCGAGGTAAGAACTAGAATTTGTGTGCATAAGAACTTATAGCCCTCAGACTATTTCAGATCCTCGAGAGGTCGAGGTGAGGTCAAGAATTTACGTGCATCAGAAGCTCACATCTTGATCCTAGTTTAGCATATGGTACGATTTCAAAATTTATCTGCATCAAAATTCATACCGGTATGACCCAGAATTTACGTGCATCAAATGCATACCAAACAGACAATATTCGAATATTCACAAACAAATGATGATCGTCATAATGCTAAAGTAACTTGGGTTTCCTAGTTGTTTCTCGAGCGTCATACAAAGGCAAATCTTATGTCATCCTATCTTGCTTGATTTATAGGTTATAATTGTGGTAACTTGTTTGTTTTCACTTGCATAGTACACTTAAGACTTATACAAATCCAAAATACCCCAACCCAAACACCCAAATAAATTAACTAAAATTGGTAAAAAATCAACGTGGGTATCAGTACTGTGCCATCAGTATCGATATCGAACCTTTCATTATCGATACTCACTTGGGTATCAATACCAAATTTTGCTTTGATGTTTTGAAATTTACCTTGTATCGATACCTCTATCGGGAGTATCGATAATCTACCATGGGTATCGATACTCTCATGAGTATCGATACCAAAATCAGCTTCAATGTTTTCAAAAATACCTCAATATAGATACTGACACTCTGAGTATCTATACTGGACCTCGAGTATCGATACTTCTTGAAGAGGTATCAATATTTCCCTTATGACTTGCCTTAATTTTGCCTTCCACGAAGAACAATATCAGTATTATTTTTTGAGTACTGATATCGACGGAAAGAATTGCTCTATTTTTAGAACGAAATCATACCCAAACCTCACCCATTAACTCTTCTAAGACTTTTAAACATTTTTAATGTCTTATTTATTGTCTGAGAGATCAAAAGGTAATAACTTTCATGCTTACAAACATCAAATACGAATTTTACCATGGATTACTCTAGCATGCATTCATTAATAAAACAAACCATAAATGCACATACAATGACCTAAATGCAGTATGGTCAAGTTAAAATCATGTTACTTAAAGCTAGGTAGCTGACAAACATTCCCAAATCAACCAAGGGGTAGCTTTTCCTTTCCTCTAGCCTTTGGCCTCTCACCTTGCTCTTGAACTAATCAAAACAAGTTTAATGAGTTGTTAGATCATTTTGAACCTTAGGGAGAGCCAAAAATGTTTTGTTACCAAGAAAAACGCATAAAACTAGATAGAACCCAGGATTTCATAAACCCCTCAAAAGCCCATTTTCATGGAAACTAAGCCAACCCTTACAATTGAGGGCTTGAATGAAACCTTAGCAGTTGTATATTGTGAATCTTATCTTAGAATTCACAAATGATGTCTAATATTCTTAAAGTTTCATCCTTTAATGATTTCTATGAGAAAAAACAAGTTGGCAAGGGTAAGAGGAAGAAGACAAGCTTTGTGGTGAAAAAAAGATATTATAAACAAATATGAGATTATCCCAAATTAATGGGATTCTGCCTTTGGTTTGAAAATAGGTTAATTACCTAGCTAATCCTTCCTTATTTGATTTATGATTAAAAGTATCTCTTTCATAAGCTAGTTGGGCTCATCCCAAGCCCAAATCAAATCCACTTGGGTCCAAAGATTTATATACTAAGGTAAAATCATTCATAAGCCCAAACGAATAAACCCGAAACTCTTAACTCGTATTTTAGGGCATTACAGAAGTAATATTTTACAGGTTGTGATATTAAAGACATGGTTTAATAAGTCAGTTTTATATGCTTATATATTTTATACGAAATATAAATCATGTTTTAATCTTTTATGAATTACTTCTACTTCTAAATGCCTTACTTATTTTATTATGCCTCACTAAGTGAATACTTAGTGTGTGATTGTTCCATACGTACATAATAGAGTATGATCATAGTGAGGAGTACTACTGATATCCTCTCTCAAGTGTTGCCTTATCAGTAACAGTATGGCATCTCTAGATGTTCTTTTGATATTACTAGTTTGCATGTACTTAGTTGTGTTATGATACTATGGTAGGAACAATTGAAATATATTTTGTAGTCTTGTATTTATATATAAACTTAAAAATACTATGTGATAAACATAAATGTTGTTTTATATATTAATAGTTAATTGACGTTTTATACATTTTATTATTATATCATGTTATTTAAAGAAACAAAATTTTATTGTTATTCAAATACGAAAATTGTTTTAAAGCATGTGACATCTCATGTTCGGGATCGTATATGGGAAAGGGGTGTTACAATATTATATGGTGTGTTTCATGGGTAGGTGTTAAAAGAGCACATAATGTTGAAAGATGGATGGAGAAGCATGATATGTACTGGGAAGTATATGTCATTGACAACAGAGGAAAAGAAATGTCATGGCATGAAGTCCAAACCGTTAACAATACTTAAACCAGTCCTACTATTATTTGATCCAATTTTGGAAAGTTGAATCAAGGAACGGTGGACAAAAAAAATGATAAGATAGAATTTCAAAAATTAGAAACCTTATCCCCTTAATGAAGCAAGCCATGAATCAACTATTTAAAGACCGGTGGTGTTTCCAAAAATCCCTAAGGTCGATTGGTGTGGACTCTTCTTTGCTCAACTCTTGATGGCTACTAGAAGACATTGAAGACCTTCAACTTCTTAGTTTTCTAGTTTTCATTTTTCTTTGATATTATTTTATAAGCTAGATGATATGTGAAAACAATATTCACCCCTTCAAGAACTAATATTAATGGCTTGTATTATGGAAATTATGCTTTTGTGATCGAATGATTTGGTCTATGCATGGTTGAATCTTTTTGAATGTTCATTCATTATTTACTGCATTTACTTTTGGTTGAGTTGTTTGGAAACAAATGCTTGGCTTATTCGTTAACTTAGGATCAATCAACTTAAGTTATTATTTAATTGATGAATGCATGTTTTCAAGTGCGAACGTAGCGAGGACTAATCTTTTTCTGTAAATAGAAAATTTCAAGCAAATAAAAGGAGTGAAAGCTAAAAAATGATGTAATTCTCTAGGTTAACACATATCTATATTGCAGAAGACAATATATACCATAGACTTTCTACTAGACTTAGTCATAAAGATATTAACGATAACTCTATATAGTATTCAGAAGGGCATAACCTACCATGGGCATTTTCAATCGAGAGAATCAACATAACCTCAAAAATCATACATTCTATCTAAATTATGGTTTAATATTTAGTTTACTTATCGTGACAATTGACTTGCTTAAGG